CCCTTACTTAAGATTTCCGTATTAAAAAAACATTTTGTTTAGAACTGAGCCCCCAATATGGCTTAGGTGGGGTGCTACTACAAACCAGATGGGACTCCCTTCCCGTTGCTTCTAAGCCGGGAAACTCCTTCCCGCAGAAAAAAGATACTCCAAATAGAAAAGGGGAAAGTTTAGCCCTTGTGTGAGGTATTTTCCAAAATTTAAATTTTATTTCTGGGGAAAAAAATTCATTTTAGAAAGGACCCCAAAAATTTTATATACCTAGAAACTTTTAAGGGGAACCCAAAATCGCCTCTTGAGGGGGACTTGGATCCAGGTTTTAAGTTCAATTTTGTATATCAATGGTTCATCCAATTATTTTTGACTGGTTAAGTGTGACGTCAGTAGAAGTTTTTTACCCTTTCGCGTTCCACATTTAGAAATTTTTCCGCCTATTTTCTTTTAAATCCTTGACTATAGTCTTGGTATGGGGGGTGTGGAAAAAGTTCAATGATGGGTAGCAATATATAAAAATGTTCCTTACCGGGTACGTTAAAGGGAGGGTAAGTACGCTCCCGCCTTTTTCCCCCCCCAGAAATGATAGTTTCATTTCCGGCACTGTTAAGGTAGGGTAAGACGCTCCCGTTTTTCCCGGTTTTTTTCCCCCCCCTAAAGTGATATTTTTGTTTCCCGGCTGTTTGTAACGTAGGGCAGTTAGCTCCCGCTTCCCTTCCCCTTCTCTTCCCCCCCCCTTCCTCAAAGGGTGATATGGGGTCGGCAAACATAAATCATAGACTTACAGTTTTCCCAACTTACTCTTGGGACGTGAGGGTTCCCTGTCAATAACGGGAAGAAAGGAGGGGAAAAGGACAAAAACGTCCGAGACTTCCCTTTTAATTCTGTGGTTGGGGGAAAAAATTTGGGGGTGGGGGTTTGGGGGGGGTTTTGTGAAGAACTGCCATGGGGGGTCACCAAACCCCTGCGACCCCCCCCCCCCCTCTCAGCAAGGGCTACGATTTAAACAAGCAGGTCACCAACACAGAACCCAAGCGTTAAATTTTGGGGTTAAAATTCGTTATCATTTAATTTTTCATTTTTCATTTTCTTTAATTAGGATTAAATTTCTTTTTTAATGTTTTATATTTTTATTTTTAATAAAAAAGTGTTTATTTTTGTTGTTATTATTTTTTTTTTCTATTCACTATTTTCCTGAGGAGGACCCACCTGGGTAATACTGTCTGAATTTGTTAAAGGGCTGAGTAAACCTTAAGGAGAAATGGGCAGAAACCCCCTTCCCCTTAAAAATTTACTAAAAAGAAAAAGAAAAACTTTAAAAATGGGATGCTTGAATGTGCGGGGTGTGCAGATGACAAGAACAGATATTGCTGGTTATGAATGAAAAGAATTGGATGTCCGGGCCCCTAAGCGAAAAAAAGCTGAAGGGGGTAGGGGGTTTCGGGGGGGGGAAATAAAGGGGGTTTAAATCGGGAGTATCTGAGGGAGTTAGAAAAAAGGGAAGGGGTACGAATGTTGAATGATCAGTTATGGAAGAGAAAAAAGAATATGAAATTAAAGCAAAAATTTTTGGGGGTTAAAGTAAAGGTTGGATGCAGATGGGTCAAAATTAAGCGTGTATGCCCGGGAAAGAGGGAATGCAGAGGAGAAGAGAGATTTTGGGGAGATGTTAAGTAATTATAGGAGCCCTTTTAACCCAAATGAGGGTAATTTGGTAGGGGACCCCGAATGTAAAGTAGGAAAAACTTTTTGAGGGGGGGGGGGGGGGGGGGGGGGGGTGGTAGTTTGGGGGGGGCCCGGTGTAAATGATAATGGGCCTTTTGATTTAACTTTTTATAGAAAGGGTTTTTTTTACAGGAATACATATTTTAAGAAAAAGAGGATAAAAAAAGAACAAGATATGAGTAGGGCGAAATACAGTATTTTTTGGATTTGATTTGGAATAAAAGACTGTTGGTAGACTTCAGGAAAGACATGTTTTTAAGGGGGCCCGATAAATTTTAGATCCTTTTCTAGTTGTGCTAATGGGGAGTAAAAGTAGATGGGATACAAGAGAATAGAAGCTCGGGAAGAGAGAGGTGAAGGTTTATAAACTAAAAAAGGAGGCAGTTGGGGAAAAATATAAACAGCTATTGGAGGGTAGATGGGCTAATGAGAGCATAGGCAATGGGGTCGAAGAGGTATGGGGTAGGTTTAAAAATTTTAGTGTTAGAGTGTTCAGCAGAAGTTTGTGGTTACAGGAAAGTGGGTGTGGGAGGGAAGAGGAGCGATTGGTGGAATGATGATGTAAAGAGAGTAGTAAGGGAAAATGTTAGCATATGAGAAGTTTTTCAAAGTAGAAGTGATGCAAGGAGGGAAGAGTATATAGAAAAAAAGAGAGAGGTTAAAGGAGAGTGGTGAAGCAATGTAAAAAGAGAGCAAATGAGAGAGTGGGTGAGATATTATCAACAAATTTTGTTGAAATAAGAAAAAGTTTTGGAGTGAGATTAACAAGTTAAGGAAGCCTAGAGAACAAATGGATTTGTCAATTAAAAATAGGGGAGGAGAGTTAATAAATGGAGAGTTAGAGGTATTGGGAAGATGGAGGAATATTTTTGAGGAATTTGTTAAATGTTGATGAAGATAGGGAAGCTGTGATTTCGTGTATAGGGCAAGGAGGAATAACATCTTGTAGGAGTGAGGAAGAGCCAGTTGTGAGTGTGGGGGAATTTTCTGAGGCAGTAGGTAAATGAAAGGGGGGGGTAAGGCAGCCGGGATTGATGGGATAAAGATAGAAATGTTTAAAAGCGGTGGGGATATAGTTTTGGAGTGGTTGGTGCAATTATTTAATAAATGTAGGGAAAAGGGAAAGGTACCTAGGGATTGGCAGAGAGCATGCATGTTCCTTTGTAAAAGGCAAAGGGGACAAAGAGAGTGCAAAAATTATAGGGGGATAAATCTGTTGAGATACCTGGTAAAGTGTATGGTAGAGTTAAAATTTTTGAAGAATTAAATGTAAGACTTCCAGCAAGCGTGCGTGAGGTGTTAGATAGGATGAATGGAGACGAATGGTCATTGGGACCTGACGATCTTTGGAGGTGAGCGGGTAATTTTAGTGAAGGGATTCAGGGAAACCCGGATTTTCATATAGTCGGCTTGGTCTGGAAATGGGAAGTACAATGCCCGCACTTAAGGAGGGGTTTGGGATATTGGCAGTTTGGAGGGATATGTTGGGGATCTTTTTTATGTTAGTTCTTGACTGTTGTATTTGAGCACCTCTGCAAAAACAGGTGATTAATTGCCGATGTGGTGAAGTGTTGAATGGATGAAGTATTTTCTTTTGGGGATTTTCTTCTTTTTTGGGTCAACCCGCGCCGGTGGGGACGGGCCGACTGTGGAAAAAAAAAAAAAAAAAAAAAAAGTAAGGGCTGGAATGATAGTTAAAATGAACAAGGGCTTTAGAAAGGTTTTGGGGGGTGTGGACCAGTGTTTACGTGAAACATATAAGGAACAGTATTTAAATAAGGAAAAAGGCTTTGTGCATTTAGGGTTTTGGGGAAAAGGCGATGACAGGAGGTGGGGGGAAATGTGGCAGATGTTCAGGTGTATGTGAGGGGAGGTTACTAAAAGCGTGAAGATTTTTTTACGGGGATAGGGGCTCAAGTTAGGTTTTAAAGGAAAGAGGGAAAAAATTTTTTCCCCAGTAAAAGTAGGCCTTAAAAGGGGGATGTGTGTTTGTCACCGGGTTGTTTAAACAATTTATAGATGGGGTTGTAAGGAAGTAAGGGAGGGTCTTGACAGAGGCGGGAGTTAAAAGAAAAGGAATCACACAAAGTGGGAGTTGCACAGTTGCTCTTTGTGATCACTGTTTTTTGGAGATTTAAGAAAAGTTGCAGAGATTGGTGGGATGAATTTGGTAAAGTGTTCAAAAGAAAAAAATTTAAAAAGTAAAATACAGGAAAGAAAAAGGTTATGAGGAAAAAAAAATATTAGGTGAGAAAGATGGATAAAAATTGGAGGGAGAGAGTATGGGGGGAGGTGAATTTTATTAGATATTGGGAGGGGACGTGCGGGGATGGGTCATGAAGGAGGGGGTGAAATAGTTTTGTGGGGGGGGAAAAGGGAAGTGGTGCACTTGGGAGTTGTGGGCAAAGACTTTGCCCCCTTGGAGGCAAAGGGGGGAAAAGATAAAAGGTATAGTTTTACCCAACACTTTATTGGGTGTAAACAGGGGGTGATGAATGTTGCAGCGAGGAAAGGCGGGGGAGGATGGAGATGTCATGTCTGAGGGCGGGGTGGTGTGAATAAAATGCAGAAATTTTTAGTTTGGAATTTTAGGAGGAGGGCGGGATACAAAATGTTGCCCGAGGGCTGAGGAAAGGGGGTTGTTGGGGGGTTTTCGGACATGTAGGGGAAAATGGAGCGAAACAAAAAGCTTAAAAGAGGTATCAGTTGTAGTGGAGGAAGGGGGGGTAGGGGTCCCCCAGGAAAGGGTTGGAGGGAGGGGGTAAAGGGGGTTTTTGGGGTTGCGGGGGTGGACTTCCACGGGCGTGGGGGGGTGGAAGGAGGAATGGGACAATTTTTTTAATACTTGAGTGCTTTTTGGAGTGGAAAAAAACTTTTAAACAGGGGAAAACCGGAGGCGGATTGTCGGGTAAACATCCCCTGCATTTGAGGGGGGGGGTGAAATTTATTTAAAAACGAGGAAAGCCCCCGGGCAAAAACAGTGTGGAGTGAAGAGGTGAAGTTTTTTCTTTTTCGGCCCCCCTGCCTTGGTGGGAATCGGCCGTGTGATAATAAAAATAAAAAAAAAACTTTAAAATCCTCAAAATGTATTTAGTTTTTTGAGAGCATATGGATTTTTTCACTAGGGAAAAAGTGATTATAAATTTTCTCAAATTTGGACCTCTCTCCCATTATGCATTATTCAGTTTAATAGAAGAAGCACTGTATAATTTTATGCCATAATGGATTACGTTGTTTCAGCATAAAAGCTCAAAAACAGAATTATTATATAATTTACATACCCGAGGATCTTTTGGCCCTGATCTTGAGTGTGATGCTCCTCTCAGAACATCTGGAGTTGACTCCTTTGCTGAACTTGTTCCGGGAATGTTTTCTATATTTTTCACTGGCTCACCAGTCCCAACGGCCTCCCATGTTGACATCTGCCCTGTCTCACGCAAAATGTGAGAATCACCAATATTTTCTTGTGTCCTCATGTGAGCAGTGGTACGAACTGCGAAGGACTCAGACATTGCATCTCGTGGTTTTGTCTGACCTGTATCGTGTGCCACCAGGGAGTCTGCACAAGTTTCTACTGTCTTTGTCTGACCTGAATTATGCACTACAAGTGTGTCCTGGGCAGACAATGATGATGGTAGGACAGGCTCAGGCTGGCCTGCCAACACCATTGGACCAGTGGGTGGTGCTCCCATTTTTTCCTTGGAGAAAGTTTAAGGCCACTCATTTCTCCACCTGATTCTCGCTGCTGTGCAGGTTGTTGCTTTACTGGGTGTGTTACTCCTGCTGTTTGTGGCTGTTGTCTTAATTGTTGCTGCTGTGCTAACTTTTGGGATGTCTGTTGTTGCAACTGCTGATGCAATTGTAGCTGGTGTGCTGCTGCCTCTGTTGCTCCTGAATTTGCTGTTGTTGTCTTTGTTGATCCTGTGCCTGTTGTCTATGTTGGTCTTGTTGTCTTTGCTGTTCCTGAATTTGTTGTCGTTGCTGCTGTTCCTGTACCTGTTGTTGTCTTTGCTGATTCATTTGATGCTGCAAGTGATGGTGACTATTTGGATTAAGAATCTGAGTACCCTGTTGCTGTTGCTGAGCTTGCAGCTGCTGCTGAAGCTGTTCCTTCTTTTGTTGCATTTGCTTCTGTTGTTGAATTTGCTGCTCCTTCTGTTGCAGTTGTAATTGCTGCTGTAGTTGTTGCTTTTGTTGCTGTTGTATGGACAATGCTTGCATTTGCTGCTGCAACTGCAGATGATGATGATGGTTATGGCGTAATTCTTGCTGTGCACTAAACACCGGTATCTGCCCCATGGCTGTATTAATTGCTTCAATGGGTCCTCGCTGTTGCTCTCCTAAGCGATTCTCAATATAAATTTGGGGATCTATTGCTGACTGTCTGACTGGCTGTGAGAGTGCCCTGCTTCTCCCTCCTTCTTCACCCCCTAATTGACCTATTAAATGACTTCCCTGGCCTGGTCCAACCACACTCATTGGATTATTATCAATCTCTGGAGCCGAGCGTGTACGCTCACGAGCTTCATCAGTTCTCAAGGCAGCAATATTTTGATAAATAGGTTCTTGTGAGTTTTGCACCACTCCCCCAGGGTACTGAGGATCTGTGTATTGTGATGTAAACTGCGATCCATAATGTGATGAAGTTGAATACTGTGTTGCAGCTCCTGACTGTTTTTGTTGAGACTGCTGGGAAGCCTGGTCACTTGTGAAAACTGGAGTAAGGTTAATATTTGTTCCAAGGGCTACACGTCCATCACTAAGTTGATATATTGCATCAAGGTCATTGCAAGAGTAATTGTGACTAAAATTATGGAGAGACTGGAAAGATTGAGTTTCCTGTTTCTGTTGTTCTTGTTAATTCATTACGAAGACTCTCGACAGCTTCACTCAAATCTGCTAAATTTTCATATGTGCGTGAGAGATCAGGTGAGCCAAGACAACCTAAGGAAGCTTTTAAACACAGTGCTCGCCGTCTTGAAGCAAGATCCGGGCTCATATTTCCACCCTGTAAGTATAATATATAATAAAATGACAATAATAATAATTATATTTTTTCTATCAAGAATTTCAAAGAGTTATCTCAAGGTATTAATATTGTATCAAAGAATAAATCCCCCAAACAATATCATCACATTTCTTCACAGCAAAACACTACAGACTGAGGGCTATATACCTGATTGATCGTGGCCAGATCTGGGGTGCTATTACTGGAGGGTTTATTGTAGGGATATGGAGGTGGTGGCTTGTATACATGAAGCAGCTCATGCTCCCGATCATGAGCTGCATCTCTCCCACTATCACTGCCTTCTAATAGCTCCCCAGCCGGTGTGGCTAACTCTGGGGTGCTGCAGAAAATACCTAATTCAGTTACAGTACATAAAAGTATGCACATCACTATTATGAGCAATAAAGTAGATGTCGATTTGGCCTCTTGTACTACTGACAGAATTATTGGTTTTCCCTGTCTAATTTAAATCTGCATTCATTATACAGTGATCATATTTACATTCCTGTAAATTTCATGAATCAATTTCTCACATCTACAAGTTTAAATCTAAATTCTAATGCATGCCATAAAGGCAACAAAACTGGCAGAGCAGAGATCTGGATACCCCTAAAAAAAAGCACAAGGAAGTACAACTTTGGGATGTCTGAATATAGTAAGTAGACAAAGGGAATAGCTGTGCACTATTATGCATGATAGGAAACTGGATGTCTTAGTACTAAAGAAAACCTAGATAAAAGGATCAGGAGAGTTTGAATGGGAAGAAATTAAAAGAATTGGGGATATATATATATATATCAAAAGAGTAAGACATAAGGAAGGTTTGATGATATAGTATTGTCAAACGAACAACTAGCAAGAAAATTTGCATGAACATCACAATCCAATAATTGTTGACGATTATGAAATAGGGATGCAAAAAGTAGGTTATTGTTAGTGTAGGAGGAATACAATGGATAGATTCTAAGAGGTGTTAAGTGTAAAAGAATTTTAGCCAAGTGAGAGAAGGAAG